ATAATCATACTTATTCGTTTTTGATTCACAGTGTTAGTTTTGCCATATTTGCTTTTTTACATTTTAGAGCCACATTAAAACAGAAAGCACACATTAGAAAAGCAAGAGAAGCTGTTGTATGAATTCTGAAAATACTTTTCCAAGTAGAGATCAGAGAACAGTGGTTACGCTTCAGATCAGCACCTTTGTATTATACAGAAATGCTGCAGACATTTCATTAGCCTTTTGGCATCAAGCCAGGTGTGCAGGTTCTCTTGCATCTTTTCACAACTTCTATCTGGTCTCCTGTTTACAAATGCTCTCTTTATTTTTCATTTTTTTTGCTCCTATCTTTGTTCTACTACACATGCATTTCAATGTGACCCCTTGGTGGCCTCCAGGCACTCAGTCTCATGGGAGAAGATCCTGCATGGAGCTTTTAGAGTCAAAGGTACCCCCAGGCAACTTCAGTAATGGACATTTTAAGAAACTACAGGAGCTCTGGAGCTAATGGGAACATAACCTTACAAAAGGCGTCACTGCCCCCTCTCTCAAAGGTAAAAGTTCTGTCTTGTAAGGTAAAATATATAAAAAATATATATATATCTGAGGCTTCTGACTCAATTTCATCTAATCATTTGCTGTCTAAAAAAATATATTTTTTGTGACAAGAGGTTTTCCTTTTTATGTCAATTATATAGGAAAAAACGTCTCAGCCTGCTTGGCCGGATGTGAAAGCAATTAATCATACAGTAGCTGTTACTTGAAAAGTGAAATTTCAGTTTAATCAGTGATGCCCTGTTTTTATTACTATTTTATTTTATTACTATTCATTTGCTGTTTCATGACCTGTTAAAGTTGCAATTAATTATTGATGGAAAATTGAATTCAGCATGAGCAAAAGAGAATACAACCAACTTGTAGGTTTGGGCTGAATTGCATGAAGCACAAGCTTACCTTGGAATAACTTAAAGATAACAAAACGAAGATGTTAAAAGTTTGAAAAAAGAACCTTTGATAAAACACTATAAAAAATGCAAGTGATGAAATACAGCTGCACAGCACTGTATGTCAGGTGCATTTCAGTTACCTTTATTTTTATACTCGCATTAAATGTAAGCAGGATAATGTTAATAGCAAAAAAAGAAGGATTAATTACACATTACAACAGAAATCGTACGCCACACTGCAAAAGACTCAGTAAGCCAACCTTGCATAATGGGATAAGATGAATCAATAAACAGCCCCCAATCTTCTTCCTATCGTATCATCTCATACATCCAATGAGGTTACCTGAGGAACCTGACACATCAGTCTGGGTCTGAGGCAAATATTACAAATAAAAATCCTATTCTGCTAAAGCCCTTGCCATCAGGCAAGTTGGCCAAAGTACACAAAATAGTGCATTTTAAATCAGCTTTTTATATTTTATTTGAGAAAGTAAGGCATGATTCTATTTGTAGTTTGGTCACAATATGGCAACGAGTGTGTTTGATTACAATATTTTTCACAGCTTGCAAGATTGATTACTGTGATCTTGCATTTCACCAGGTCACCTTGACATACTTGCCAAATAATCAGTATGCTGACAAACTGCTTTCAAGTGTCTGCTAAATTCTGCAACACTAATAGTAAATTGAAGCATTTATGTAATTATGTAAGACTTTTCTTCTACTTGTTTTCAGTATTTGTTGGTCATATCAAAATTTGACGTGTACATTTTTAAACTATTCTGTTGTTGAATCAACCACAAAGTTGAGTGAATAAGAAGTAACTCAATCTTTTTTCTAAGGATAAATGTGATGCATTAGTGTGATTATGTAAGGACTGAGCAAAAAGATGGGGGCTCCCTAAGGCAACTGAGGCTTTTAACGTACAACCTTGGGTGATACTTGCAAGATTAGTTATCTAAATTCTTTTAAAAGCACTGCTCGTTCCCCAGGACAGAAATGATTTTATACCTTAAAAACCCCTATAGAATCTGCATTAAATGAATATCAAAATAAAAAAAAAACAATTATTATTATCAATAATAAGAATAATCTTTATTTTTATCATGGCTTTATTGGGAATGGAATCTGAAAATGTCTCTAAATATATACTTTTTTATACAACTTTCTTAACAACAAAGTTGGGAAAACTGCTATTGTTAATTCAGTTAATTGTTTACAGCACCTTAAAGATGTGCAGTACATTATACACACATCAGTAAAGTTTACTTGATACAATGGGCTATATCCACAGTTTGATGAACATGTCTGTATAACTTAAACAAGACCTGAATCCAGTACAGTTGCCCTTTTAACTAGAAATCTGCCATTTCCTTGGATCTGCCACAACTCTGCACTGGACTTTTGAAATAGTTATATGTTGCTAGAAGAAGGCTATTGAAATGCAGTACTTAAAATCAATTTCCACACAGCAATTGCTGAAGCTTCAAGATCTAAATATGCTCTCGTGCAAGAGCTATCACAGTCATTGTTACAGTCAGCTTCTGGTAGAGGAAGACTTGAGCTGCTAATAAGAAAACAGGATAAGATCTCACAAACTAGTGAAAGGATAATTGAAAATATTAATATTCCGCCGTGTTCAATTTTCTAAACCAGGAAACTTCCAATACCAAATTATATTCTTTTGCAGTGCAAAAAAAAGACTATGGTTCCACAGAAACAATGGGATCTTTTAGAATAACTGGTTGTCCCAAATGTTGATTTTTCTTTTTTTTTTTTTTTTTATAATTTTAATTTGGCCTGATAAATTTTTACCTTTTCTTTGATGCTTTGAAAATGGTCCTAAAAGTTTTAGGTCATACTTAGTGGCAATGGCTACGCAGCCTGAAGTGACCCAAATCCATTTTTCGGTCCATATGCGACCCATATCTGATCTTTTCTAGCCTTGTGAGACCATCCTGATCTCGCGAGCTTTCAAGGTTTCAATCGCAGATCAGTCTGGAGACTCTCCGTTAAAGAAACTATGGAGCCGTTCACCAAACGAACGTCCAATCAGCGTTGGCTTTGAGGCGGGTTGAGGTGTGATGCAACGAGAAGCGCGACAGTTCAGTCTAAAGAACATGGCGGCTTCAGCCGATGAAACTAGCGTTAGCGTGGCTATCGAGCAAGTTTTATCGGAATTACAGAGTATTTCTTCACTGAAAGAAGAGCAAAACACTGCTCTGGAGGCTTTTCTCAGAGAAAAAGATGTTTTTGCTCTTCTCCCGACTGGTTTCGGCAAGAGTTTGATCTATCAATTGGCTTGTGCCTGGCTTGTGGTTGTGTTTTCGTCGTCGCTCTGTTAGTACGTCATATGCTTTGTGATCTGATTGGTTTATTTGGCCCGTCTATCACCAACATAGGCCAATCAGCTAACCAGTATTTTCGCCCCAAAATTACTTCAACGGAAGGTTTCCAGATGGATATGTGGAGCAAATCCATCTGGCGGAGTTAGGTTAGATCTTTTCATGGCTGTCTGAACAACACAGATCCAATTTTTTTTTCCAATGCGACCCAGGTCGCTTGGCTATGTTGTCCTGAATCCGATACCAATCTTATCTTTTCAAATACGACCTGTGTCTGAACGGCCAGGTTGCATCCATCCGACCTGAATGCCATTAATACCTGACAAAGATCACTATTCTGGGTCTTGCTATGAAGAAGCAGCAAGAAAAACGATAACCATGGCAGACGTGGATGCGGACAGCAGTATTTATGTTTAACCATCTCGAAAAGATTGAGTTTTTATGGTTGGGAAAGATCGCTAGATGCACTCTGGCACTACCATCCATGTTTACTTCTGTAAACAAGGAGCACGCTGGCCTGTGATGTCATTGCATCCTCCACTGTGCATGTGTGACACTTCCGTTTTATGACTACGGTTCACGCAGGAGTTTACATACAGTTCGCATATATTTGGAAATGTGAACAGCAACGCAAAAAAAAAATTCGGATTTCACAGAAAAATCGGAATTGATCATCATGGCCTGCAGTGTGAACGTAGCCAATAAGTGGTAATATCATATGCATGACGGCAAGAGAATGTGAAAGGAAGTAGAGCAGATGGTAAGAGGAAAAGGGAAAGTGTGAGAAGAGAAGGGTAATGAAGGAGGACAGAGATGAAAGAAAACAGGGACAGGCCAGTGGGCTGTTTTCTGCATGTAATTGGCTCAACTACTTGCAGGTGGTCTCTTCCTGCTTTTGACCTTGAGTGCTTAGCACAGGCCCATCATACCTTCTGCAAACTCAACACAGTGAGAGAGACAGAAAGAAAGAGGAGAGGGGAGGGGTGTGGTGGGGTGGGTGAGTGGTCACAGCGCTGACCAAAGCACATCTCTAGAGGAAATCACCCTAACCCATGGGGGCTCATGCTGCCAACAAATAACTTCCAGTCTTTTTCTGGCAAGCGCAGCATACAATCAAGCAAAATACAAGCACTGGTATTGTTTATCTGATGAGTTGGTGCAAAACAATTCTCTCCAGTTCTCTGTTAACATTGTTCCAATTTTCTCATGAATTTTGGAGAATATGTTTCTTAAATATGGTCTTTACATCTCTAGTATATTCCTGAATGTGTTTTTACTCCTGTCTGTGGACATTAAGAGATATAGATGACTGAAAACGACAATTTTATGTGGATTTAGAAAAAAGTAATAACTACTTTAAACTTTTTTGTTGACATTTAGTCATTCAAGTGCAAAAAATCCCCGTGTTCTGTCAGATGAGCATACCCATAGACAATACGAAGGCGCACAAAGTCAGATTTGCGTTTATCTCTTCAGTTTTGTAAGAAAAATAGACTTTAAACTACCTCAACTGGCATGTATCCCTTTAGTCATGTACAAAAAAATTAATTAAGATCGTCATAAGCTTTAAAAAAAACATTTAAAAGTAAGTAATTGTTTTTTTTTATATATGATATAAGTAATTAGGATTTATTAAAAGAGATGATACTACAAAAGAAGTAAAGACATTCATATAAAAAAAGCTGATCTTTTTTTTTTTTTTTTAAGTTTAGAAAACCATGCTTACCAGAAATTCACCAAGAAGGGATGCTCGAGATTCTGCATTATCTGCAGCTCTTTCAGGACATTTCTAACTTCATTTCGTTCCACACATTTAAGCTTGTTCATGTACTTCATGGCGTACATCTTCTTAGTGTCCTTCTTCTGAACTATGCAGACCTGTTAAGATCAAATGAAGGTGAATTAGTTATTGCCACGGAACACTTGTCCCTCTAGTTGCCCTGAAAAATGATAAATATATATATATATATATATATATATATATATATATATATATATATATATATATATATATATATATATATATATATATATTTTTTTTTTTTTTTTTTTTTTTTTTTTTGATTGGAAATTTTGATTAAAATATTGTATGCTTTTAAATTCACAATCAATAACAATGCACACAAATGAGCAAAAATAATAAAACCACCTCGAAACAGCAGTGAATTGACAAAAAAAAACAACCTCTGTTAGCTAATTATCTTATTAATATGAAAATATTTCTGTGATTTAAATCTTTATTGAATTTTCCACACCAACATCAACAATATATGTAACATCCCTGGATAGAGCTGGGCAATTAATTGCATTTGAAATATAACCATTCAGCCCTACTGCATAGCTCCTTAAAACACTTTTCTTAATTCTCCTTGGTCATTAATTGGCTTGAAATTTAAACATTTTGGAAAATAATTGGGGAAATGCATGTCGAAGAACTGAAGAAATGCTATGTCTATGATTTTTTGAAGTAGTGTTGTACATGATTAACGTAAACAGCAAAAAAAAACAAATTATATAAAGCGTAATCTCAGATTCTGGTTACCTTTTGCTTACCAAAATGATAGAAATACACATTTTAGATATTGATGTTGGGCTTTAATATGTCCAATTTATTTGCAGTAGTTTTTTTTTTTTCCAAACCATGAGCAAAAATAAGGCCACGATAGCTGCAATCTAAGCAAATGATCGGTGGAGCAGCTGGCACAATTAATCAGTCAAGCCTTGATGGCGTCAATCCTCACATCTAACAGCTTGTCTTTACTTTGATTAGACAGCTTATCTGTGGTTGGACAGTGCACTGATGCTATGTGGATTTGTGACGTGTCTACATGAGTGGTAATGCATATTTGCATACATACATAAGTTACCAAAGGAAGAGGGAATTAGTTTTCAATAAATGTCTTAAACAGTATAACCCAACAGCTGTTAGATTGTTTCTGCTGTATCACTAGTTCATCTTGAAAAAATGGTAAGGTAGACTTAACTGGAATGTATATGATAATGTTGTATAACCAGATAAATTACAAGATTATTTTGTAATATGTTTCCTTGTTCTCCAGGGATCAAATGCATATACATGGGGATTTACAGCTCTATGCAGAGGCATTATACATCATATTTCACATTTCAACCATCGCCCTGCCTGATTTCCATTTCAATCTTTATCCATGAATGGATGCAGAAAGCTGCTTAATGATTTTTTTTCCATAGAAAATGCTCTCATTACATATCAGATTATTGGAAAAAGGAATGAAAACGAGATTTTTATAGAGTGTTAAAACATTATTATTTCACTCACATAGACAAACAGAATGTAAGAAAATGCACAGTTATAGTTTTACTACTGCAGTACAAAATGCCACCACTAATATTAATCCTTGGCTGATTATGATATGATATGACTTAAGCTTTGCAGACTTACAGCAATTTGTGATGCAGCACAATGAAAACATAACATGGGTGTATAAGTATTGGTCATTTTACACATATTTTTTATAATAAAGATAGTGGTCTAAAATATGTTTAAGTTGAAAATAAAGCAAAAAATAGTTTTTTTTACCTTTCCAAAACTCCCTTTTCCAATGGCCCTCAAGATTTGGAAGTGGTCAAAGTTGACTGTAGATGGAAAAGAGGAAAAAAATATTGTTAAACAGTGAGAAAAACTCAAAGAATAGACAGGACATTTTTTGTTTCTATGTTCTGATAATAAGATGAAAACGTTGGGAAAAAGTATGTTTTCTAAAACTGCAGGCAGCTAGAAATACGCTACAGCAAGATCTATAAGAATTCATATTATTTTATGAAAAGTAGAAAACTTTTCCAGTGGAATGAAGTAAAAATCTACTTCTATTATGAAATATATGAAAAAAAAAAAAAAAAAAAACTTCTGTATCATCATTGTTAGTGGTTTTGTGTTAAAAGAGATATTAGTATCTCAATAAGACAACCTGTATAATTAAAGGTTAACAAAAATAAAATAAAAAATAATGAATCTCCTGTATAGGAGAGATTGTGAGGATCAAACCCGGCAAATATGATTAGTTCAGTCTAAACTGATTAGCTGCTGTCAGTCAAATTTCAAAGGACTCCCAGATGAGCTCCACGGTCTCATGATTTCCTCCGCTGATTTACACAAGAGAAAGACCGTCAGTCTGTCAATTCCACTCATGTGCAGATGTTGATTATTACACGCTGTTGTCCATCATTTATTTCATTACATCAAACCGCAGCAGATAAAATATGAGCTACCTCCCTCTCTTCTTCCTTGCCAGCTACTGCGTCTTCGTATAATCACATTATCTCGCATCTAATCCATGAATGCAGCTGTGTCTCTGATAAACCCAAATGAGGACCGGATCTCCCAGTAGCTAAGCAGTGATTATCTGTTACTAGGACTTAGTTGATTTAAGACAGGGCTGACTTTAAATCTGCATGAACATAGGTTGTATATAGTGGGTCTCACATGGACTTTATCTGGACAGGTCTGGTAAAGACTCCAGCATAGTGTGAAACAGGGAAGCACCACTGATACGTGACTAACAGAGCATAACATCAGCTGTCACATCCAATAGATCTAGTGGCTGCAGTCTGAATGTAAGTGTTTATGCCTGTGCCTGCCACAAAAGCAGCAGGTATTCTTTTGAATGCCCTGGAAATGGTTGTATTTGCGCCCGTGGTTGTGAATGTGCGTGCAGCATTGTTTCAGTATGTCATCCGATGAGAGCAAACAGTGGGCAGCAGCTGTTCCATCCTCTGGGAAAACAGCAGAGAGGGAAAACCATCTGTCCTTGTTGTCATGACAGCGAGAAACAAAACAGCCTCTATCTGGTTCCAATAGCCGATAAAGTGACTGATAGACGGAAAAGAGTGAGGCAGGGAGAAAAGCTCTGGCTGTCTTCTCCTGTGTATTTTCAAATCTCAGTATTGCCTATTAAGGGAAACCATGCAGCTCTTATTTTGGAAATCTTTTGTGCTGAAGGTTTTTTCAGCTTTTCCTTATAATGTCAGTGGCTACTCTTGATACCTTCAGCCTTACAGTTTGCCAAAGTAAATGTTAAATTTTGAAGACCGAATTCAACAATTTATCCACCTTTTAATGACTGCTTTTCCCAGACAGTATAGGCCTATTTTTAGAGATTATTTAAACTAATTAACTGGATCTTTATTAAGAACGGTTCACACATCAATGTCTAATATTATTTAAAATAACTAGAAAAAGGTATGTTTTTTGTACTTCAACAAATACAACAGTTAGTTCTTGGTTGCATTACTGGTCTCATTTGGTTAATTATCTTGCAGAAGAATGCATGACATTTTTTGCCAAATGTCATGCAGAATGCAAAAGATTTTTTATAGATGGTCTTACGTTTTCTTCAAGCACCTGAATTAAATGATGGCGAGGTGAGCAGTTTCAGCTAGCCCAAAACAGACCACTTCCATTATTCAATTCTCAAGAAATAATAAAAAAATAATTCTTATTTTCTGTTTTTATTATTTGTTTATATTAGTTGAGTGTTTCAATTTAATTAAGCTTGACATTAAATAACAATGTGTTTGGATCTGATAGATAAAATACAGACAGGTTGTCATAGTTCCCAAAAATTTGCCCATGACTGTAGATGTAGCCTGAAAGGATTTGGTCCTAAAAATGAGTCAACAGTGAGAATAATTTCAAAAATAGAATTCCACTCATCTAAAATTTGACACAATTAAACAGAACCAATAAAATAGCAGCTGAAAAGAACCATGCGTTGTTTCTTATGTCAACCTTCCCGTAACAGTAATTAGACTCAGCCTCCGATCATTGTATAAACCATAGTATATATAGTGCCTCGTGAAAGTATCCAGCCCCCTTTGAGCTTTTCAAACTTTGACACATTTCAAGCTTCAAGCATAAGGATATGAAATTGTACTTCTTCGTGAAGAATCAACAACAAATTGGAAACAATCATGAAGTGTAATCAAATTTTTTTTGAGATTTTTAAACTTCTTTAACAAATAAAAAACTGTGGGGGATGCAAAATTAATCTGTTCCCTTGAGTTAATGCTGTGTAATGTCACGTTTCTCTGTGATTACAGGTGCAAGTAGCTTGGGTATATCTCTATCAGTTTTGCACATCGAGAGACTGATAGTTTTGCTCATTCTTCCTTGTAAATTACAATTTTACATCTTTATATTTGAAGCCTGAAATGTGGCAAAAGTTAAACGGGGCCAAAACATTTTTCAAGCCACTGTACCCCTTATACCCAACATATGATAGTGAGGACATATTATATTGTAAATTGTTATTATTTTTGTTTTAAAACATTGCAGTACATGCAGCTTGACATGTCTGACGTTTAGCTAAGAATATGAAAATACAATGACCACTCACCAGGATGACTATAAAAATACTTTCAGGTAGGGCTGCAACTAACGATTATTTTAAAAATCGATGAATCGGACGATTATTTTTTCGATTAATCGATGAATCGGACAAAAATATTTTTTATATTAACCTCTTTATTCCAAAATAAACATTTTAGACAGAACAAACAAGCACACAAGTACAGGTTGCTCATTAAGTGTACTGGTGCAATATGAAAAATAAATGTTTGTGTTAAAACTACGCAAACTTACATGAGAAATGTAGCTGTACATCCACAAAATATAGGGTACTTTGTTTCATAAAGCGCAAAAAAGACATTTTTGTATTTAAAAGCCCCTAAGGGGTTCAAACAATAGGTCCCCCCATTTCAACAAATGAGTTTTTTTAGACCAGAAGAGTTCTGCCTTTTAAGACAGGAAAGTATAGCAGTTAAAGTTGCTACTTGAGAAAATACTGAACCATAGAGATAAAAATAGCCCTGTGATTCAAATTATAAATTGTATTTGGAATAAAAATGAAAGAACTAGGGGTGGTAAAAAACACATCCTCCAAAGACAGATATTTACATGGGAATGTGGCATATAATTAATTGACATATTACTGATCTTGCTGGATTTTATTCTGCTTTACTTCCATAAATTGCAGGATCTTCTTTACTTTATCTTTGCCAGAAGATTTAAACTTTAAAAGCCTTGCCCTCATAATTTGCAAGTTAATTTATTTATAAAGTAAATGTAAACGCTGCTTAAGCTAATTCAAATGAAATTAAAAGTAAAATAAGTAGCCAACCTTATCACTGTCTGTAACCTACTAACACGGTAAGGAAAGCATCAGATGAGCTACCTGAGAAACTAACGTTACGTTTCCCCACTTTAAAACCAAACAAACATGGTGGTTCCGTGCCATGTTAATTTCTTTTGAAAAAAGTTGCATGTTATCACTTTTTTCGCTTTACAAAGCGCAGGCTATTTTAATTATTGTGATCAATTTGCGCCGTCAATCCCGGTGCATGCGCGCTTCATTTGTAGTCTGGACGCTGAGGCTCTGACTGCAGCGCTGAGAGGGACTCCTGCGGGGAAACGCGGTTGGGATGGGGGAGGCGCCCCACGGCAGAGTAGGAACGATACATGCTTTCACGTAAGAGTCTCCAAAAGCCGCCAGTGACACCGAAAAAAGTCGCCAGATTTGTCGGTAGTCGCCTTTTTGAAAAATAGTCGCTGGAGGGGTCTGAAAAGTCGCTGAGTAGGCAACACTGCACCTGCGGCGCTGACTCGCTCTGCCATATTTTTTTTTCTTCCTCTTTCAGTCAAGAGGCAGTGATGACGGCGCGGCGGATGACGCAATAATCGCGCGACACAACTAATCGATGATGAAATTCGTTGCCAACGCTTTTAAAAGTCGATTTTTTCGATTTTATCGATTCGTTGTTGCAGCCCTACTTTAAGGGCTTTATATCTTATTATACCAGAGGTTTTCAAAGAGAAAATAATAAAAACTGCTTTTAGTATTTCAAGACTTTAGCAACTAAAGATTGGAAATTAACCACCAAATTATGATTTATTTATTTCTATAAAATGAAGACCTTGAAACCAGAAGCAGATAACAGCAATTCATTTATTCATTTTAATGCAATCTACTCAAAGCGGGGTTGATAATGCATATTCTAACCTTTCTTTGTCTTTAATCAGACAATGCAAAGGATTTTTAACAATTTACTGCAGAGAGAATCTGGTTTCACCCTGAGGTGGATGAGTTGCTGCTTTGGCTTCACTTTTAGTGTTGGTCTGCTGGCAGGCTTAAAAAAATGAAATCCTCTCAGAACCCTCTTAAAAAGAGACATTAACTATGAAAACATTGGATTTGTCCTCCAGGTACACATTAATGTCAGTCTCCTTTTTTTCTGCTCGGATGACCTGATCTTACAGAGGGTTTCTACAGTGATCAGACAAATCTAGCAGGAGTCTAGCCGTTGTTTCATCAGCACACCCAACGGCTTATGAAATATTTCATATCTTTTCCACACTTTCATATTTTGTCACATTAACATTTAATGCAGCAGACTAGCAAATAAATAGTGCATCATTGTGAACAGAAGAAAGAAAGGTTACATTATTATTCTACTGTACATGGAAGTGTCTAGAGGTTTCTATCTTGTACCTTTGCCCAGTCGTCTTAGCCCGCTATACAATTATGATGCACAGATCCATCCACCATCGCTGTGACCAGCGATTGTCAAATCTGGAACGTGTTA